GGGAAAGGCTTTGCGTGAGAGAGATTTAGGACCCGAAACACTGAGTCGTGAGCTCTCGGCTGTGTTTGTGAGTTCAGGTTTACCTGCCATCCTGAGGAAGTGCCTGCCACCGGTTCAGTGATTGAAACTGCTGCTGTGACCGTACTTTAAGGGTTTATACCAAATCGCTGCACTCAGTCACTCACGCTCACTCCGACTCCCTCAAGCTCCAAGGAAATCCCTTATTTATGTCTGTTGCCTTTGTTCCAGTGGCCTCAGGGATATAACCTTCGGGCTCTTGGTGCGACAAATTAAAGATGGTAAATTCCAGCCAGCCCCATCCCACATCTTTTTCCTCCCATGTAAAATCCATGGAAATGACCGTGCAGCTTTCAGAAACCATTTTGACTGAGTGTGTCTGGAGTAGCCATGCTTACCTCTTGCAAGCAAAACTCTCCATTTTGCCACTTGTCTCAGACAAGCTGAGGGTACCCGGCAGTCAGAGCTCTGCCTTTTCGGTAATCAGTGAGGCTGGATGTTTTTTAATTGACTTGGGATTGGAAATGTCAAGTGTGTTAGAATGTGTGTGTGTGTATGTACACATGAGGCTGCTGTTCTGAAGGCTGAACCGGGATTGTGCTTCTAAGAAGATCTTAGAAGGTGCTGTGGAGATCAAAGATGGCATTTTGAATCTGTGTGAGAGCAAAACTTCCCCATGAACCAAACCTGTTTCCAAAGTTGTGCCTAGAGCTGTGCTCATCGAAGCATGGTACCACCTGTAGTCTGGGCGTCTGTGTCCAGTTCTGCTTTCGGAATGGGTTTTCATAAATGCAAACAAGAAGATGTTGGTATTTTGGAGTCTGTGAGCATTATAGGGACCTCACAGAAACATGCAAAGTCTTTGAGGGCCTTCCAGGGTCCAGTCCTGTTGTGAAACCCCAGGGAATTGGTTCCCCATGTGAGTTGGTGGGACGTCACACCGACAGTGGCTCCACTGCTGGAGGATTTACTGTGTCACCAGGGCCTGGTGTTAGGTGGGACTTGGCAGGCAATTGACAACGCACACCAGAAAGCTGAAAAATCCTCAGCATAAAATGCCGAGGCAAGTGGTAGGCAGGGTGTCAAACTGACTGACTGAACCATAAAAAGAAGCGAGTAGGTGCCTGTTTCCAAACAGCAGCGCCGTATAAATGGCAGCGCGTGGGGGAGACGGTCGCTGGGAGGATAAAGGGCTCCAAGGAGAAAAGTGTCAGCTGGAGAGAAGTAGAGATGTGTTAAAAACACGCGGAGGAAGGAGCTTCCAGCTCCTGGGCGGTGCAGTGAAGGGTTAACGCTCACAGGGACCTCTGCGGCTGCCTGCCTAAGGCCACATCAGACTTGGTGAGGCCTTTTCAATGCTTCTGGGTTTTGCTTTTTTTCTTCCTTTGCTGACAAAGGAGTGAGGGATTTTTCAAAGATATTAGGTAACAAGGCTCCAGACTACACTTTTTTGTGCACCAGAGGGTTCGTGTTACACAGTCACCTGAAGATAAGCCAGCACTTACATACCCTCGGTGTCTGCCTATCTCTTTACAAACCTCATTATGGGCTTTGGTCTTAAAGTAGATTTTTGAAGTTGTAAAATTTATCTGAATTTTTTTCTTTTTATATCACACAAAACTTGCTTTTATTCTGTTTCTTAAGAAATGGTTTATTGAAAAAGTGATGTAGTATTTTCCAGCCCGCTGTCCTGAGACGTATAAAATCCAAGGGAGATCCATGAAATTTAAAAACAGACCACAGTCAGAAATCAGGGAAAAAAGCCTCCAAAATGCTCTTATTATTTCGTAGGTGTTTCGGAGCATGTTGAAAACACACTGAAGAAAGATTAAGGATTTCAGATCTCCTTGTCAAAGGAATTATATCAGTTGGTATCCTTAAGGATACTAGTTACGGGGCCGTTAAGTGTACTGGAGCCCATTGAAGAAACCTGTTTCTTCTCATGGGAAGCATCCTGTAGATTTTAAAGGTCAGGGAATCAGGGCCCTGTCAGATCTTCTTTTCAAGTCTCGTAGAGGTAAAGATGATATAAAATGAACATTTACTTGAATGATGCTCACTTTTGTGGGAAGCAGTCCTGCTGTTGTGTGTTAAAAGTATGTAAGTACCGTGCATAGCTTGCATAAGTGATTACTTCCAGTCCGCTTCTTACAGCGTATATATGCCTAATGATGCAGAACACTACCAGACTTTTAAATGAACCTGGCTTTTATATTGATTATTTTCTTTTTCTTATTAATGTGAACATTGAGATTAAGGTCTTATAATAGTCTGGTTTTGCTTTTTGGTTTTTTTTTCAGACCAGGCAAAAAACAGTTTGCATGTAACATCGCTAGACGATGCGGAATGTCTCCGATCTAAAGAGCTCCTTTCGACCCCGAACAGTCACACTTCTTCTAATTCAAAGTCCAGCCGCAACATCCCTCGAAGACATACAGTAGGTGGCCCTCGCAGTTCCAAAGAAATACTGGGAATGCAAACCTCGGAAATGGACAGGAAGAGAGAGGCTTTTCTTGAACATCTGAAACAGAAATATCCCCACCATGCTACAGCGATAATGGGACACCAGGAGAGACTGAGAGATCAGGTATGAAAGTCAAATTCATATCTTGCTTTTTGTTAAGTGGTTCTTATTAACTCCTACAAAATTGAAGATTACCTCATTACAAAAGGTGAGAATGTAACAAAGCATTAAATGGCGGGGTGGGGGGTGAGGGTATTGATATAGCCTAAGATTCAGTTGCTCCCTTGAAATTCAAAGACACAATAATAAAAATGAAACTATTCAATATTACCTTGGAATTGTTGATTGAAACTGACATTTTTGAAGAGCTTTTCATTTTTTTTAGAATATACATGGAGAAAAAGATGAAGGTGAGACTCTTGATTTTAGCATATGCATTTCCATCTAATTTTCACAGCTGAAGGGAAAATATGGAACAGCTGTTAACTTCTGTTACACTTTAAGTGTTGGCACCGCTGCCTGGGAGAAAAGAAAATATCCGCAGAGTGTGTCTGTATGCTTTAGCTGGCTCTGTTACCCTTTCATTTGCTTTCTTTTCTATTTTTGAGTCCTTTAATACAAACGGAACGGACTTATCCACAGATGCCTGTGTCTTCCCAGTGGTTTTGACATCCACATTGGTCTGTCAGCAGCGTACCTTAAGGTGGTTTGCTTCTCGCCTGCCTGCAGTTGCTTTTGGGCAGCGAAAAGTAAATGTAGGGTCAGAGGAGATGTGACACGCTGATGTATTTCTCAGAGCAGGTGGAGGCTGCTGTCATGCCGACCTTCTGAATTCAGGGAATGCCGTGCAAGGATCTCTTCACAGCCTAACTCTGGACTATGGTTTTGGGTGCAATGTTAGATTTTACCCTGTTCGGCTTTACACACAATCTACCTTCTATTCCATAGTCCAGTTTTTTCAATCAACTAGCAGAATTTAGAGTGCAGGCTCAAAAATCTTGTGCCCATTATTCTCAGTTCAACAAATAATTGACAGCAAACCTTTCAGAGAAGCTTTTTTTTTTCTTAGTGTTTTACAGATATTTTAGCACTAACAGCAAATTAATTGTCAGTAAGGAATAAAAACAAGTTGGAAAAATATTGTACTCTGTTATGGGAGTTCTAACTAAGTTCCCAGCCTCTTTTGAGGCCTTCCAAACCTTTGGAGATCAGACCATAGTTACAGGTTTGGATAGATTGTCATTTGGTAACTCTCCCCTACAACTTCTTTTTGGCAAGGTCTCTAGAGATCCCAGGTGCTGTCATTGCCTCAGAACACAACTGCTAGAATCCATATGTATTCAGCTCAATTGCTGCAAGACTTCAGCTCTAACAAGAATGATCTATTCCTTACTTTTAAACAGCTTCCCTCCTTTCCTTTGAAAGTCTTGATTTTTTTTTTTTCCTCCCCACTTATCTTCCATGAACTTTAGCGACTGTGTGGAATGTGCTGGGTGGTGGATAAAGATAGCATACAAATTAAATAAAGGGGGTGGGAGGGGGGTGAAATCCAGAGATTAGATCTTTTGGAGTCATGTAAATATTTAGTTCCAGTGTTGCAGACACTGCAAACCCAGTTTGAACAGCCTACAGCATTACACCCTGCACATTTTGTAATTTGAGCCCTTTCTGAAGGCAGTAAATTACAGAAGGAATGTAGTAACTGTTCCTGCTATTTGTTTAAAATGTGTCATCCTTGCTAATTTATTGAGGGTAAAATTCATGCGAATGTCTCCTGCTTCTATTTTTTGATGATTAGACATATGTATTTTATGTAAATAACTTTAAATTCAGTATTGGAGCATCAAACTATCTTTCTTGGGAATGCGAAAGACCGAAGACTTCATCCATTCAGCATAACTTGAAAAGAAAAAAAAGATAAGCTGAACAGCAGCCACATTAAAATCATGCAGAAATAAGTTATACCAGTTGATTACAAGAAATTGGCTTAGTTGAAATGTATCAACAGTCTGGCTGGTCAGATGCAGTAACAGATTATTATGGTCGTGGCATTACAGTTCAGAGGGGTTTTTTTCTTGCCAGCTATGTCTATGCGTGCACACACATGTATCTGTGTATTTTGTGTGTGTGTGTTTGTGTGTATGTATATGTATCTCTGTATAGATACACGTAGGTATGTGTATATATACACATAGCTGTATGTGTGTGTGTATACATGTGTATGTGTAATGCATGCTTACTTAGCTGCTTCATGAAGAAGACCGTAATATAATTTTGCTTTGGAGGGCGTATACGTGTGTTGAGCATACATACTTCGTTTTTCCGCCACCTTGTATATGTACGTGTCTAGGAGCGGTATAGAAGACAAACTGCGTGCACATGTAGTAGGTATGTGTATGTAACATATAGATATGTATCACATGCAAAATCTCTAAGATGTATGGGAAGACATGAAATAAAATTTCATGATTTATTTTGCAGGTTCTTTTCCTCCCTTCTTACTTCTCCAGCTGCTCCAATATCTGGAAAGTAGCAACGTTATCTGTGGTGGGAATTTCCCCACTGTGGGAGATCTATCAAGGATAGTAGCTAATGCAACACCATTTTCTAATCTCTATGTCAAGTGGCGCAGCTGGAACATAAAACATCCCAATATTTACGGTCAGGAGATAGTCCCTCGGATATCATATAATTTGTCTTCTATGTTGCTCTATAGCTTGTCAGGTCCATAACGAACAAAAATGAGCCAGAAAATCAAGATTGATAATTGTCTCTTTTTTTTGTGGATTTTCTTCGCTTGTCCATTTTAACCATCAGTATCTGAACATGGCAAACTGACCCCTGGTTTGCAAAAAATAAACATCAGGGAAAAACGTTTGGTGTCGTCACATGATACTGTATTACCTCCACCAGCAAGGTCAGCTCTGAATGTTGTCCATATCTTCCACTATGTATTAATAGTTTCCTCCAGGCTTCGTTTATTCAGATAAATCCCTCCTGGTTGTGCCTCCTGAGGACCCATTTCTACTCTTGATAACCTGCCGCAAATCAAAAGAGGTCAGGTAAAATGCCAGCGGGGATTACTGATGGTTCACTACCGCAGTGACCTGAAACCTCCCAGCTGTGCACACAGATGATCGCTCCTCCACCCCGCAGGTTTGTTGCCCTGTTTGTGATATCTTATTCTGCAAAGGAAAGCTCAGAGACAGGGGCCGTCTCTATTTGCACAAGGGCCCGGGGATACTGCTGCAAGGCAAATAACCTGCAGCTGAGCTGGTCTGTGTGGTAAATTGGGGTGTGAGTTCGCAGCAGCTGGGTGTGAGGGATGCAGGCGTGCCGTGCCTTGTGCACCCCAAAACGCCCACAGGGCAATGCAGCACCCCAGGGCTGTGGCTCTGCGCCCCGCAGCTTGCCCTCATGCTGCAGTCCATCCCCCGGTGAGATGGCCGTGCAGCTGGGCACCCTCCACCTGCAAGCCTGCAAAGCTGAGGAAGAAAACATTTTTTTATAGGTAATTCAAGCTTCTGCAAGAGCTTTGGCTAACTTGCCTCTGCCAAGGCTGTCTTGTCTGCGTTAGTGAGTGCAAGGCACTAATGTAATCCCCAGGAAAGTTAGAAAGAAAGGAGAGAAGCAGTCTCGGTCTTCTGAAGTTTGAGATGGTGTGAATCATCTGCTGCTGAGCTCATGGCAGGACATGGTCGCTGCTTAGGTGGGGTTGACTCCAGTCAGCAGAGAAGCAAAGAGCAGGAACCAGCGTAAAAGCTGGGCCAACGGCTGTGAGGATGAAAAAGAGCCTGCAATTAAGAGGTTAAAATGCTAACCTGGCCATGGGGGGGGGGTAATCCCTGCTGTGAACCTGTTTTGCAAGTCACCTCGCCAAAAAAAACCTTTCTGAGGAGCAGGGAGCAAAAATGAGTACATAGAAATTTTTCAGAGCTGAAGCTTTTGAGCGTGCCTTTGGAAAGTGAGCTGGAAGGTGTTTGCCACAGGTTTCTTTTGTTGTTGTTTGGCTAGGAAATACACTGGTAGATGTGGAAGGGTCAGCAACAGCTCTAGCGTTTCAGCCAGTGCTCCGTGAAGAACAAATTTATTGGCAAACAAAATTAGATTTCCACCAGTTTAAAAAAAAGGAAACACCCTTCCAGTGCCTGTGCAAGGCTGAGTGCCTAGAAAATGGTGGTTGAGGGTTTTTTTGTTATGCGCAGTTAGGTCTGAACATGACAGGTAACTCTGGCATCTGGGCAGGTGTGGTTAAGGTTGCCATGGAGATCCATGATGTCATGCTTGATAGAGCATGTCAAGACAGCTAATCTAACATGTAGATGTTCAAAAAGTCCTATAGGTCAGAACTAAGCTTTATGCAAATAACAAAGTTACACTGCAAAAGGGTGAAAGAAAATACGGCTGAGATATGGCGTGCGTTTTACCTGGCAGCTTGAAAGGATTATTACAGGCTTCATCATAAATTAAAACTTTTGGAACTAAAGGAAGAGGATCTCAGACCGTCTCTGGCCTCACCTGTGGAATCTCGCATTTCGGTAAATAAGCCTCTGTCTCTCTCTGCCCTCGCTGTAAAAAAATGCTTTTGAAATCGTGGAGTCTGCTGCACCACATTGTTCCTCCTGGCCGCAGGGCTGAGTCAAGAAAGCAAGTTTTCTGGCATGCCATTTTCCCTTTTCTCTTTCGAAATTGAGTTCTTTATTGAATGAACTGAGAATTCTAAATTATTTGAAAGGTATTGTAATGTATTATGTTGATTATATGAATCATGCTGCAAAAATGTCCTAGGTAGTGTTTTGGAGGAGAAACTAAGAATGGAGACACTGTATTTATTTGTAGATTATTGCCAGATGTCTCTCCTTTGCTGTTAAAAAAGAACCCTAGAATTACAGCAGCATTTATTCCAGCATTTGATATCTGCAAAAATACTGAGGCTTTTTTGCTTAATGAATCATAGTATCAGTTGGCTAAACAGACTTTGAGTATATGGTTTGATATCACAGGGTAATACTGGGGCATTTCTTAATAGATTTTTTTCTTGAGTAAAAGTACATTAGTAAAGGATAAACGTATGTGGACATAAAAGTCCAGCAACAGAAATGCTATGGGGACTTTTGCGTTTT